ACCCCCTCGCCATAAAGGCAGGGCAGGTGGATTTGGGATAAAACACAGCTGGGCTTTGCTTGAGGACTATGGAATTGCTCCCTGATGCTCCTCCCAGCGCCCAGCAGCATTTAGTGTTGGGCTAAGGCTCGAAAATGCTCCAGATCCCTCCCTTTTCTGGCCTTAGGAAGCGCTTTTAAACTCTCCGAGCTTGCAGAAAAGGACAGGAGAAAGCTAGCGTCAGCTTAGTGAGGTCTCCAGGAGGGAGGAGAAAACCCTACATCTTCCTAACTCAAGCTGCACCCACCATCCAGGCACTTGTTTCCCCTCATCCTTAAGTGTTTCAAGGAAAATTTGCAGCTGAGGATTTCATTCACAACTCCAGGCAACTGAGGTGTGGTACCTACGCCTCCAAGTCTCCACCGGTGGAGCAGACGACATCGGCTCCTCCCGGAAAGCTCAGCTTTTGCTGAATGGTGCTCTCAGAAAGCTGACCACCTCCTTCCCTTCCAATTGTGGGGGTCTGCCCCCCTTATCTAAGCACCTCGAGGTTGCCGTCACATCTACATATGCACATGGATCACGTCTACACATGGAGGGCAGCGGCGCTCACCTGCACTCAAGGCGCGCGGGACCTCTTCCATGGTGACTCCGGTGGAGAGGGTGGTTTTGCCGGTGGCCGCGGCCACAGTGGGGCTCGTCACAGTCTCTGGGGGTGACGTTGGCTCCGCGGCCAGGCTGGATGCCATGACCAGTGTCCCCAGGGAAGGGACGTCCTTGGTCAGTGCTGGTGGCTGGGTGGTGCTGGGGCTCATGAGGACAGGCGTTGGGGACAAGACCATCCCAGGGGATGAGTACAGGTCGCTGGTGGGGGGGGAGGAGGAAGATGATGCAGGTACACCTGCGGAGCTGGGAGCTGCCCCCAAATCCATCGTGCTACTTGCCAAGCTGGCAGTATTTGCTGTCCGAAGACCTGGGGCTGTCTCCAAGGTTGGTGGCACCGAGCTGGGGCTGGAGGCTGCGGATGGGCTGTCTGTTAGGGTGATGGTGGCTGTGGTGACGGAGCTCACGGTGACAGAGGCAGAAGCAGGGGACAGTGCCACCGCAGGGGTAGCATTGTAGCCATCTCCATCCACCAGCCCAGAGGATGCCCCATCTCCAGCAGGTCCTGTGGACAGCGAGGGCTGGCCAGGAGCCAGCGTGGGGACACTGGCATCCCTGGAGCTCAGCCCCACTGAGACCCCCTCCGAGGGGAAGGGAGGGCTGCTGGGCGATGCCGTGGAGTCATCGCCCAGTCCTAGGAGCAAGACAAAGAAGTATTAATAACGGGAAAATCCTTGCGGGAACCTGGGGTTTGGGCCAATGCTACGGGGTTTGGGAATGCAGCTGGAAAGAAGTTTATTGTTTTTAAAATGCTGAGCGCCACTTGAAATAAAGAGATGGGAAATACCCCTGCATAGCTGGACATGAGGTTTAAACCAGCCCCAGCACCATTTTTCCCCAAGATTGGGATCCTCCCATGCCCAAACACCCCCTCCTCATTCCCAGCAGCCAGCAAAGCAGCAGGGGAGCAAGCTCCTCCTCGGCAGCAGCCACCGCGCAGCTGGGGACGATAACACAAGACCCCTCTTTCTCCTCTGCCCCCAGCTCCTTGTGCATTCATTCCTCTCCATCTCTTAGCACGAAGAGGAGTCATTTTTTCCCCTCTGTCCCCACCAGCAGAACGCTAGGGCTTTTCACCCCCCAACCCCTTTCCACTCTCTAAGGCTAAACCCAGCGCTGGCCCAGCACCAGCAGCTTGCTGCCTTGGCACAGCTGGGCCAAGGGAAGAGCATGCCAACGCCACACAACATCAGGAGGGATTTTTATTCCCATGCATCCATTTATTTACACCCCCAGAGCATCCCAAGTCCAGCACTGGGAAGAGCAAAAAACTGCCACAATGAACTAATTATTAGACACGCGTGGAGGACAAAACCACTCAGCAAAACGCTGATTTTGTAGGAAGGCTGAAGCCAAACTCCCACCTCAGCTCCAGAGCGAGGAGCTTGGTGCTCATCTAAGTGAGAAACAGCAGCAGCGAGAGCACAGGCAGCCATCGCGGTAGCTCTTCGTGAGCCGGAGCTCACAGATCATACATGGCTGGGCATCGCTGGTGGGCACATAAGGCTCTCCCCATCACCAAGCCACCACCCCCCCCGGAGATAAGTCAACTCCCACAGCAAAATCTGCGATCACCCCAAAGTCAAACCGAAATGCCAGCCCTGGAGGTGACACCCAAGGAGGCAAGGAAGGACTCAAAACTGCACCCATGATATGTTTTAGATGGAGCAGAGGTGTCGCTGACCCACCATACAACTCTTCATCACATAAAGCTGCACCAAGAAGCAGTGGCCTGGGAAGGACTTAAATTTGGCAGCAAGGGCTGTGCAACAGGGGGTTCCCCCAGCAAAGCCCCTCACTGCTGAGCACCCAGGAGAGCCACCAGGCTCCCAGGGCATAGGCAGCACCTCCTGCTGCAGAAGAGATGGAAACACTTGGCAGCTGTGGGTAGGAAGGGTGGGATGCAGCACCAGTGAGCAGGGGCTCATTAAACCATGGGCTCAGGTGTTTTCAACCATCAGTGTAAACAGAAGGCTGTGGGTATCTAATACAGCTTCACTCAACCTCTACCCCTTCAGCAGAAGGGACATCTCAGCTAAGGACCTCCAGCTGACCACAGCAAGCCCTGGGTGGGCAGCACACCTTCCCCAAAGACATTTTCTGTCTAAAAACAGCAAACAAACACTTGGCCAGGGATATGAATCCAGTTCTGGAGCACAGCTTCCACTAGAGCCCAAGGTATTTAGGAGTACAACTCCCCAGCATACTTGCCCAGTTTTTTTTTTCCTGGCACTGTGGAAGTGGTTAAGTCCCCATCCCTGGAGGTGTTTAAAAGCTGTGTTGATGAGGCACTCAGGGACCTGGTTTAGTGGTGGGATGGCAGGGTTAGGGTAACAGTTGGACTTGATGATCTTAAAGGTCTTTTCCAACCTAAATGATTCTATACCCCTTCAATGGACCCCATTTCCCAAACAGGAGGGTCTGGGAGGTGGGACTGTGGCCATGGGTGCTCTTCTCCCAGGGAGAAGTACTTGGAGATGCCTCTGAGCTTTCATCCTCCTCCATCTCTTGGTCTGCTGAGAGACAAGGCTGATAGACCTTAGGAGGAAGGAGAGGAGATGGATGAGAAGCTGGAGTCTGGCTACCAAATGAGCAACCTGGCTCAGCACCCATGGTTTTCACACCCAGCCTAACCCACAGCAGCAGGGAAGCACCCAGTCCTCCCACCACCTCCTTCCCAGCTTTCCAAAACACATACCAGGCTCCCACAAAGCTTCTGCTGCCAGTGGGGCATTCTGGTGTCCCCTCATTTCAAGACCTTTACATTTCCAGCTTCCTAGTTAATACCTGGGAGTTACTGGCACATAAACTTGAGCTGCATTCCTGTGATAATCCTGAGCTTAGAAGCCATTAGTTCAGATGAATGCACTGGTTTGCACAGCTTGACTTCACCCCCAGCATCTCACCAATGCTAAGACTGCCCACAGTGCTGGCTCCATCCAACAAACCCCACTCCTCCTGTCCCCTCCTCCCACAGAGGCTGGTGGCTCCCTTGTTCAATTCAGGCACTGCAACACCATAAAACCCAATATTCCCTGTGCCACTCCATCCCTTCGCATAGCTCTCCGCACTGATGTGCCATGGGCAGCAAGTGCCAGGTCCCCTACAGGACATGCAGGTTCCACACCAGTGTGGTGGGACCTGCAAGGCACCTGCAGCAACATCTCTTAGGGACCAATGCCATTTGGGGCATGACTTTCCACAGCCAGAAGTAAGCTGCAAGAACCTGCCTCTTCAACATGCTGATATTGAGGTTCAAGTGGTTGATTTCTGCCCTTTTTGCTTTTATGCTGGTACCTACCCTTGCCCTTTCTTGACCAGGCTGAAGCATCCCCATAAAGTCTTCCCAACACCTTCACTTTGGGGAGGGCAGGTGGCAAAGTACAAAGCAGGGAGGCCACTGAAACTGCATCTCTAAGAGAAAGAAGGTACAAGGGCCATTTTGAGGAGGTAGTGTTAGCCTGCAACATCCCAAATCAGAAGAGCTGAAGATGCCTTCAGCCACAACCCTGGGAGAGCATGGCCTCACTGGTTTTCATGGCTGAAGGTGGGACATGAAATCCCTGGCTGGATTTGTGAGGAGCATTGAGCAATGGGGTCTCTGTCAAGGATTTAACACCCTGCAGCCATCCTGGGCCTTCTGCAACAGGAGGCATGGTCTCTGCAGAGAGCGGAGGGTCTGCTTTGGAGACACATGGGTGGAAAGGTCTATCAGCAACACAGGCTGATAGCAAGGCATGAGTGAAGAACCCAAGTACTCCAGCTCCACCAGCCTCCCTGCACCCACACTTCTGAGCACTTGGATTACTTACACACACACAAGCTACACCATACCCAAGCCAGCCTCCCCCATCAGTAGTGACACAAGACATCATCACTTCAAGCTCTATTGCAACAGCAAACTCCTGGGCCTCTGCAGAGCTGCCTGAAGGTGCCCAGCTGACCTGGCAGGGCACTGCTGGGAGTAGCTTGCAGCTCATGCACACCCCCAGCAAAGCACTCATCAACTGCTTTGAAGAGGTCTATGCTGGAGGTGGCAAAGCCAGGGCAGAAATCAGCTGCCACGTGGTCACAGAAGGTGTTGGAAATGCTGACAAGCCCAGACCAAGCATCTCTTCACCCTTAGTGTTCTTCAGATCAGGGTTCAACACCTGTCTGTATTCCTGTAAAATAATCCTTGTTCCAATCACACCTTGGCATTTCAGATGTGCGACTTCTCCAACAGGTAGCAAGCAGCCTCCACAGCACACTGGCTACAGCAGGACCCTCCCAGAGCTGACAGCACCTTCCAAGTTTATTACCTCTCTGTCAGCATAGATGCTTCCAGTCTCTTTTAGACACAGGCAGCCTACCACCTCTCTGCAAAGCCACCCTTGCTTGCTCACACTTCGGGTCAGCAGGGCTTCCATGAGCCCCGTGAACTTTGGAGGCCAACTGACAGGGGCCTCAAGAAGCTGACAATGCTGCTAGCCAGGATGAGTCAGGATGTTTCCCATAATATCTAAGGGGTATAAATTCAGAGAGTGAGCCAAAACTGGCTGCAGGAACAAACCCTGGCTGAGCAGTCTCAGCCAAGCAGGTCACAAGTCACAGGGACATTTCCCAGGAGTGCAAGCCCAGCCAAAAGCAGCACAGGGCTGGGCTCAGCCCGGGTTTTCCCCATCTCCCCCTGCCCTTGCGTGGTCATTGCCACCCAAGCTTTGATTTCCAGAGCAATAGCACTACATTAATCCCTGCTAGCAAACCCTGCCTGTGCCAGCCCTCGGCCATCATCTTGTTCCCCTGAGCCACCATCTCCACCAGGTTACCAGGACCCACAACTTCCCTGGGGTCCAGCTCTCCCATCACCCCCTCTCACCCAGGCTGTGCCCCTTTGCACTGCAGGAAAAGGCCAGCTGGGATGCCAGAAGCAACACAGGCTGCTTCTGAACCAGCTTAGGATGAGGGGATGAAAAGGAGGTGGCTGAGGACCCCCTTGGCCACTAGCCCCACATGTCCTCATGCCCCATCACCCAGCTCAGGGACAGCCTGTCCCCAGGGAGCTCGGTGGCCAGAACACCACCCAGCTTCTCTGCAAACCCAGTCCTCTGCCAACATATCCAAAAAGGAAAAAAAAAACCAGGGTGGGGATTTCCTTGTTTCTCCAAGACCTGGCTGTTCGAGTTGCAGCTGTGAGCAGGAACCAGAGCAGGGCACTGGCATAGGGAATGAAAAAAACACTAGAAAGCTTCTGCCAGGACCACATGACTTCAAAGGCTAAAAAGCCTCCAAAAGGAGTTCTCAGAAGGACCGAAGGATGTTGGCCATCAAAGGATGCCAAGCATAGCTCAGCCCCAAGGAATTTGCCCATCTAATTCACTTATGGCAGCTGACCACCCCACTGGAATCCAGTTCTAGAGGCAGGCAGGGGACAGCCAGGACAAGGTAACCGCCTAGGGAGACAGCGGCTTTGTACTTGGCAGCCCCACATGAGCTTTGAAGTGTCCTTTTTCTCAGTTGTCTTCCCTAGGAGCATAAGAAACAGCCAAGAAAAAACCCAAATCCTTATAACTCAAATATCATGCTCCTAAGGACTATCAACCCTAATCATCTGCCAACCCAAGGAATGAGCCTTCCACCTGATGGGTTATCTCC